CATTTGCTGGCCTTATCTCTAAGAGAGAATGGGAAAAGACTACACATGTGGTAATCCCCATTTGCTGTAATGGTTGCACATAATTCTTCGAACGTCTCGATATGGTCTATCCGATTTTTGAATGAATAACCAGAGAATTGATTTTGTTGAACTAAATGGATATGGGGTATGATAACACCGTATTTTGACCACTTTTATGGATCGTTTTGAAATAATTTTTCTATGTTTTTAATTGCTTTTAAGTACTTTTATCACGTTTTTCTAGTATTTGTAGTTCCAAGACTCTTTTCAGGTAACTTAGGGAAAAGCTTAACAAAATGGATAGAAAACCAGATTTCAGCTCAGAGTCAAACCGTCAGAAGTTCACCCCTGCTTGAAGGCCTTCTCACCGTCTGATCCAGCTCAAATTTGGAGACCTTAAAGATGGAAGTATCAGCTTTCCAGTGCACTTTACAGCTTGTCAATCCAACGGTTCAATCAAAAGATACGCGAAGAGCAAGATGTCCCGTAAACCAGCCGGCAAGCACTTCCACCCGCGGCTAACAGGCCATTTCCCGCGGTCAGAAGCATCCCGACCGCGGCAAGCCAACTCCGAGCCCAAAAGACCATTTCTGAAGCCCACAATGATTCCCTCATTTGGAGAAACCCTAAGTGACGTCCAGAGCACTATAAATACATGTTTTAGGAACCCTAATCGAAAAAGGATCATAGACCACCGAAATATTTACTTCATATTTTTATTGTTTTTGCTTTAGCTTTTAGGGAGAGAGAGATTTGTTCTCTTGAACCTTTGTTCTTTATTTTTCAATTTTGGTTTCTATTCTACTTATTAATACTATATTTTTGATTTCGTTCATCATGTCTGAGTAGTTTTATTGTTGGGATTAAGGGATTTTCGATGGGGATTTATATGTTCGATAAGGATTCTATGAGCTTTTGAGCCCAATCTTAGAAGTTTTTCTTCTGAATTCGTTTTTACTGCATGAGAGTAGCGTCATGAACTACAATCTGATCCAGATGCTTGGTGACACGAAGGTGTTCATCAGGTATCAGATCTAGTTTGGGAGAGCAAAACAAACATAGGAGTGGAAACCTACCTATGGGCGATTTGTGAATTAGGACTAGTCTTAAACATAATGCATCTCTTCTCTTCCAGGGCCAGAGTGGAAACCTACTGGTCAGGGTTGAGAGAGACAGTTGTCTATGATCACGACAGTGGGGTATTCATACGTCCGTGACTCCAGTTCGAAAAGTTTAAGCTAAGATCTTATCAAATTTACTCTCTAGCAATGTTTTGAATCGTTCGTACCCCTGAGAAAACTTCCCTGAAGCCCAACGCCTTCTTTCCTATCGATTTACACCGTTTTTATTTCAAGCTTTAGTTCAATATTGTCTTTTCTTTTTAGTAGATTTTCATTTAAGCAATTAGAATATCCGTTTTTCTCATTTTTAGTCATTTTCATTAAGTTTAGTTATTACGCCATTTAATTCCCATATTTTCTTTTAAGATTTCGCTTTTACATTTTAAACACACTACCAAACCCCCACTAAACCGTTTGGTTCTAGACTTCCTTACTTTATACTTATTTCAAAGGCTTTTTGCAGGAAAAGATCCTTTTTCCCTGTGGATTCGATCCCTAAGTACTACAATCGATCAGCTGTGCACTTGCGGCTATTGATTTCATTTAGGGAAAACTTGACACCCTCACGACACACCACATCAGGGTACCTTAATTTCGGGTTTTGCCATCCTCTGGTAGGGCTGGTTGAATAGCTCTTCGATCTCCCATGAACTTTTTGAGTGAATCGAAACTTCCAATCAGTTCATCATCATCTTTGTGTTAGACCGATCCGATTAATTCATTGTCATCATAGATCGGTTCTTCAAACTCATCATCAGCCAGGTCATCATCGCTTGGATCACCATCCACAAGATTTGGTGGATCACCAAGAGTTCCGGGAACATGTTCCCGGTCTCTCATCTTAGAGAAACCTGAAAAATTCAAAAGAAAAAGTAAAAATAAACAAGTGTTCTAATGGATTTAAGATGGGATTCGCAACGAAACAAATCAAAGTCCCCGGCAACGGCGCCAAAAACTTGATTGCGATTGTAAACGCGGGGTTTGTTGTTTTCGTTTTACTAAGCTTCAAGTTTTAAATTTATAACCCCTAAATGTCTGCAAGTGCACAGATGTGCGCTGTAGTACTTAGGGTATCTATCCAAAGAGACTTAGTTGTTTCAGTACGAATTCACTGCAACGCTTAAATCAGATTAGAACTAAAACATTTTGGTTTTGGTTTTGGGTTTTTGTTGTCACTAAATCTAAACTAGAAAGCTAAACAAGTAAAAGCAATTGAAAGTGAAAGCAAATTAAAGCAAGTAATAAGCGATTAAACAAGAGGCGATTTGAAGCAAAGAACAAGCGAATGAAAAGCAAATAGAATTGAAGGTAAAAATCGATTGAAACTAGAAGGCTGTAAACAATTAAAGACAAACGTTGGGGCTCAAGGGGTTTCGCAGGGGTTCATGGACTAAGCTATGTCGATTTTAAACAAGTGATAAAGGTAATCAACTACGTATGTTCTAGAACTCGAGGCACGGAAGTATGAATAGCCTACTTTCGCAGCACTAAACAACTATCTCTCGCAACCCTAATCAGTAGGTTTCCACTCTGATCCTGGAAGGGAGAAGATTGAATAGCAGAACAAGACTCATCAACATTCACAACTCAACTACAGGTAGGTTTCCACTCCTATAGAAGAATTGCTCGTTTCACCCTAGTTCAGACAATCAATGAAAGCTTTCGCAACATATCATATCAGATCGGCTTCTAAGTGGCCAGCAAAGAATCACACAGTAAGATTAAAGGCAAACGAAGAACATCTAGAAGATTATAAATCCTAAATCTATCGATTCATAAGCAAAGACACATGAAATTCCCTTTGAACAATCCCTTTAAACCCAACTGGGTAACTACTCAAACATATTGTAACAAAGCATCATTAAGTATTGAAAGTGCAGGAAATTAAAGAAAAGAAGGAAGAAGAACGAAGAACGGCGAAGCAGATGGAGGCGCAATGTCTTCCTCCAGCGGCGGCTCCTCCTCCTTCAAGCGGTGGCCTCTAGGGTTTTTTTTGAAGCACCCACACGAATTCTCTCTCTATTTTTATCTTATGTCTTCTCCACACCTTTAGGAATGACCTAAAGGGGGTATTTATAGCTTCTGGGGTGGTCCTAGACACTTACGGGTTCAAAAATAACGAAAGGAATTGATCTGGGCTTTAGTTAAGTCGTCGGGAAAGTGAACGACCAAAGTCCGCGGTCGCGGTGGCTCTACCCGCGGTCCCAGCTCGTGGTCCTCTTCCGGAACTGCATTTTCTGTCATTCTGGCATCAGGATTATCTGAAGACCAAACCGTTGGATTGTCTCCAAACCAAGTGCATTAGAAAGCTGGTTGGATCCTCTATGTTGTCACAAATTTTGGGTGTGATCGGACGGTGAGAAGGTCTTCATCGCTTGTCATACTTCTGAAGGTCTGCATTTATCCAAAATTGCTCATTTGTTCCAAATTGCATATCTTTTGCCCAAGTTTCCTGTAAAGTCTTTTGAAACTCTAAAACATTGAAAACACTTTAAAAACCTTTGAAAACAGAGTTAAAACACCTGCATAAGATACAATTATGATCCATAAAAGTGGTCAAAATACAGTGTTATCAACTTAGCATTTTTCTTGCTCGGGAGCCTCAGACCTTATCGAGTGATAGCTTACCCGCACTTCTCAACTCGCAGCATCCACTTCCAGGCATTCATCTTCAGGCCTGCGAGTTAACCAGGTCGCAAGACTATCTCGCAGCATTCAGAGCAGCTTGGACCACTTCGCATTCCGGGAAGCGTAACTTCTAGGATATTGGTCCGAATTGTGTGATTCCGGTTGCAGAGGATAGAAGACTCATACATCTTCAACTTTGGTGAAGGAAGCTTTGGTGCTTGGGAAGTGGAAGGTTTCTTGGAGGGCTCATCTTCGCAGTGCATTTACACGATCAGGGAAAGGCGCCTAGACATGTGTCAATTCCGGAGACCGTATCTTCTTTTTCATAGTTCCGAATTGAATGATCTCGGAATTTCTGGAAAGAGGACTCAAATATCTCTAATTCTCATGCAGGCCCCGTAAACTGAATCGGTCTGGAAGTGCACCGTCCTTCACATTCTTCGGAGCTCATCGGCTCGGTCAAAAACGGCAGCGAGATAGGAGTCTCTTCCGACGAGCTTAACTTTCTGCTCACGCGTCCAATTTCCATGATTCTACTTGCTCTGGAACCGTGATTCAATCCTCTCTAACTTTGATGAAGCACCGGGCAGCTGAATCGGACCGGAAGGTTCCCTGGACAGGCGATTTCGGAAACGTATCTGCACCCGGAGATTTTGGCCGAGAAATTCATTAGCCAGTACGCGTTTTGGCCGAGGAATCCACCCGCGGTACGTGAGAATGGCTGAGAAAAACCTTCCTGGTCCGCGAGAGTGGGCGAGAACCTCCTTTCAAGCTTTGATCACCATTTCTCTTCCTGGATTCACCTCTTCAACTCCAAATAAGTCCAAATGCACCTGATAAACACTCAAAACATGCAAAGACTCATTGGGACCTAATGCATCTCCTAAGTCCTAAAACAAACCCTAAGGACCTAAAATGCATGGAATAAGATATGCTTTGGAATGAAATATACAACCTAAATGATGCAAAATATGAACATATAAGTTTCCATGCCTTAAACCCTTTTCTCAGCCTTCTCACATGCTCCATTCCACTTTTTCCCTGAGCCATAGCCTCCAAAAGTTTTCTGGGACCTGAGAACAACTCACAAAACCCATAAAAAGGTCGTAAAACATAAAAAGAAAGAAAAGAAAAGATTATAAGAACTATGTACAAGGATAAGCTTGGGATGTCTCCCAAGAGCACTTTGTTTAATGTCACTAAGTTTGACTTTGAAAACCTGTTTAACAGGCTGGTGGATCATCAAGAGGAACTGTAGAAGCCTCCTCTCTCTTCTTGGAAACAAGGTAATGTTTGACCCTTTGTGCATTCACAACAAAACCCTTTCAATCCTTTCCCTCCAAGACCAACGCTCCATAGCTTCTAACCTCTAAAACCCTGAATGGTCCTGACCATCTTGACTTAAACTTACCACGAAAGAGCTTGAGCCTTGAGTTAAATAAAAGAACCAGATCTCCCACGTTAAACTCCCTCTTGAAAATTTTCTGGTCATGCAAGATCTTGGTCTTCTCCTTGTATATCCTTGCACTCTCAAAGGCATTGAGTCTGATCTCTTCAAGTTCATGCAACTGGAGTAGCCTCTTCTCTTGGGCTGTTTTAATGTCAAAGTTCAATATTTTAACAGCCCATAGAGCCTTGTACTTAAGCACCACTGGTAGATGACAGCTCTTCCCATACAACATATTATAAGGGGATGTTCCAATGGGAGTCTTGTAAGCAGTCCTATAGGTCCAGAGAGCATCATCCAACTTCTTGCTCCAGTCTTTCCTTGAGTTTCTCACTGTCCTCTCTAAGATGGCCTTGATTTGTCTGTTTGAAACCTCTACTTGGCCATTGGTCTGAGGGTGATATGGACTGGCTATCTTGTTGATATGTTCATAATTTGCATTATTTAGGTTGTATATTTCATTTCAAATCATATCTTATTTCATGCATTTTAGGTCTTTAAGTGTTGTTTTAGGACCTTAGGAGTTGCATTAGGTCTCAATGAGTCTTTGCATGTTTGGAGTGTTTATCAGGTGTATTTGGAGCTATTTGGGGTTGAAAAGGTGAAACCAGGAAGAGAAACGGTGATCAGAGCTTGAAAGATGGTGAAAATGGGTTTTTGGAGGTTCTCGGTGATTTCCACGTACCCCAAGAAGCTTTTCTCGGCGTTTTTCACGTACCGCGGGAGAACCTCTCGGCCAAAACACGTACCGTGGGTAAACCTCTCGGCCAAAATCACCTGTCCGGGGAACTTTCCGCTCCGATTCAGTTGTCGGGTGCTTCATCAAAGTTGGAGAGGGTTGGATCATGGTTCCAGAGCAGGTAGAATCATAGGATTTGGAGGCGTGAGCAGAGAGTTAAGCTCACCGGAAGGCGCACCTGTCTTGCTACAGTTTCAAGACCGGTCCGATGAATCACAGAGATTATGTGGAACGGTGCCTTTCCGTTCTGGTTCAGTTGCGGGGGTCTTCAGCAAGATTTGAGATCCTTAAGTGTTCTTTCTAGAAAATCTGAGATCATCCAGTTTGGAGCTACGTGCTGGAAGATACAGTCTCCGGAGTAAACAATGGTCCAAGAGCTCCTTGTTGATCGTTTCAATGCATCGCAGAGATGGGCCGACCGGGGAACCTTCCACTCCCCGATTATCAAAGGGTTCTTCACCAAAGTTTGAGCTTGATGAGTCATCTTTCCTTTGGGCTTGGTTTGATGCTATTTAGAGTTGTGCGGTGTGAGTTCCAGAATAATGGAGACACACTTATCATTCGGGCATCAAAAACATGGAAATTATGCTAAGTGTAATGTTGGCACGGTGGAATGCCACGGTCCAGATCTGATCGTGGCACGCGATGCAACTTTTCGGGATTTGACACGGTCTCCACGCCACGGCCTTTAACCTGGCCGTGGCAACCACCGAAGCGTTTTAAGAGTTAATGGGTCCAAGGTCACGATGAACCGCCACGGTCTACACTTAGCCGTGGCAAGACTATACGTGCATTCGGGATTTGCCACGAGGTAACGCCACGTTCTACACTTGACCGTGGCAAGACAACACTTAGGACTATGCAGACCTTCGGGATTTGACACGCTCAATAGACACAGCCTTGAACCTGACCGCAGTCAAGCCTTATCCACTCGACACACCAAGATGCCACGGCTATTCATCATGCCGTGGCAATCACCGAAGCCTATGCACTTGACCACGCTCAGAAGAAACGGTCCAAGCCAGAACGTGCCATCTCCAACCTTTTCTTCATCCGAACCCAGAAAACTTAGACACGGTAATGCATCATGACCAGAGAGATCCCGTGGCACCAAGATTCATCAAGAACAAAGTATTCAGCCTTGACACGGTCACATGCCACAGTTTGTGGCAAACCTCATTTTCACCCATCAAAGCCGGGTCAGTACCCGGTTTGTTCCGGGCTGACCCAGTTCGTCCAAGACTAGTATAAATACATTTTAGACCTAATTTGCTAAAAACTTTTATCTTATCCTTAGTCTCTTTTCCTTTTTGGTGAAAACCATTGGTTAAAAACCTTTGCTTGAGTTTAATATTGATTTGAGAGTGTTTTCCATCTTGTCTTATCATTGCTCATCATCAAATAACACTTCTAATCATGATTAACAACATATTTTGCAAACGGTTTTGTTTGTTGATTATTATTAGTGAGTAAATCCCTATTAAGGTCTTAGATATGTAGATTAGGGTGCTTAGGTGTTAGATTAGTGAGTTTAAGAGTTAGATCATGCATATTCCATTCCTTACAAGCAAGCATCTATGCTAGATCCATACACATCATATGTGGTCTAGATCCATAGGCATTTCATGCACCAAAAGTGTTTGATGAAATGCCTGAACCATGCTTGTAAGGGTTTAAGCGATTTTCATCAAGAGTTTGATTGTTTGTTGCTTAAATGACTGATTAGACTGATTCTTAATGCTGGTTATCTCATGCTTCACTAATGATGATTAGGTTAGGAGCTGTTATAACTTAGAAGTTAATACCTTCATGAGATGATTTGCTTAGTTGATTGAGTTTAAGTTGAATGGCTTGTTTGATCATCATGATTCATTAGCTCACTAGTCTAGCATCAAGGCACCCTAATCCACTATCATATCTAAGACCTTTCTCATCATCATATCTACATTCTCATATCATTTTAAGCTCTTTTACTTGCTTGTCTAAATTGATCATTAGCTTTAATTTTTGTTTTAACTTTGTTTAGTGAAATTAACATCAAAACCTCACTCATTTGGCTTGAATTAAGAACTGATCCTGCATCTTAGTGTCTACACATGATGGATTGATACCCTTTGTACTGCAAAGTGAGAAAAGGGATTGATAACCCCTCATTTAGAGCCTTGAAAACTCTAGTTATCAATTGGCGTCGTTGCCAAAGTGTGATAGCATTAAGATTGTGTCATTTCTTGAGATCAAGCATTTTCTTTTGTGTTTTCTAATTTCTTTCAAGTTCTGGTTGTGAGTTTCAGGTGCATGAACACCAGGTCCAGATCAAGAAGCTGTGGTCCACCTTTCCCTTTAAACGACAACATTAATCTTTTGGTTCCAAGAAGGAGAAGGGATAGGCGTGGAAGACAGACTGATCCGGCTGATATGGAAGATCAGAGACAGCATGTAGTTGACATTGAGCCGCAGGCTCAAGAGGAGCAACAGGCTCAGGTGCAACAGGCTCAGGTGCAGTAGGGTAATGCAGCTGGAAATGGAGCTGGTAATGGAGCTGGTCAAGGGTTCCATCAGGGTAATGTTCCTCAGGAACAGGTGCAACAGCAACAAGCTTATGTCCACCAGGGACAAGCTCCAGCTCATCAGCAAAGGCCCATTTCAATGTACAGCAAAGACAACAAGCTCACCACCAACAGCCATTCCAAAACCAACCAAGGAAATATGAGCAGCCACAGGTCTATGTAGGAGAGAATGACAGGGCCAATGCTCATCAGTATGAAGCTGGAATTCAAGCACCACCTGTGCAAAACAACAATTTTGAAGTCAAGGCATCTTTGCTGAATATGGTCCGAAACTCCGAGTTCCATGGATTGGCAATGGAAGATCCTTTGGAACACTTGGATCAATTTGATAAGGTTTATGACTTGACAAAGATAAATGGAGTATCTGAGGACAGTTTCAAGCTCAGATTATTCCCCTTCAGTCTTGGTGACAAAGCTCACCAATGGGAGAAGAATCTCCCAAGAGGCTCCATTCAGACTTGGGAGCAATGCCAGCAGACATTTCTGTCTAAGTTCTTCTCAACTTCAAGAACACCAAAGCTGAGAAACCAAATCTCCAGCTTCACTCAACATAGCAATAAGAGTTTTGGTGAAGCATATACCAACCAGTGCCCACACCATGGGTTTAGTGAAGCTTCTATTCTCAGCACACTTTATAGAGGGGCTCTTCCAAAGACTAGGAACCAGCTGGATACTGCCTCCAATGGAAACTTTCTGGGGAAAGAGATTCATGCTGCTTTAGAGCTGGTTGAGAACTTAGCAATGAGCAATGATACATATAGAGAAGACTTTGATAGAGCCAATAGGAGTGAGAGTTAAAGTAGGGATCAAAGGTATGAGAAGGACTTTAAAACACTTGAAAGAAAGCTGGACAAGGTGTTATTGGCTACTCAAAAACCAATGCACTTTGTAGGAGAGTAAGAGGAACCTTCTCAATGCTTTGAGAACATCAGTGAAGAGCGTCTTACTCAGGAAGTGATAAACTATATTGGGAATCAGAGGTTCCAAAGATATGAGTATGTCAATGCCAATCAGAACCTCTCTTACAGGAATCACAATGTATCAAACCCACAAGACCAAGTCTACCCTACCTCTCAAGCTCCACAGAGTTTTGTTCCAAAGAACAACTTTCAAGGGTCTTTTTAACCAAAGAATCTGTTTGCTTAGAATCAGGGTTATAGTCAGCATCAGCAACCACTTCAGAGTTCTGGTTTCAGTTCACAGCAGCAGCCAAAGGCACCACCAGGGTTTGGTCCACCTCAGTTCCAGCAGCAGGTGCCGGTTCAGCATCAGTTTCAGTCAGCACCTGTTCACCAGCAGCCACAGATTGGGTCAGATATGGTTGGGATTCTACAACAGCTGCTTCAGGGTCAACAAGTGTTTGCAAGCCAGTATGCATCAATGCAGCAGGACATCAAGGAATTGAAACAAAATCAGGCCTCTAGCTCAAGGAACCAAAGCCAACTTCCTGGTAAGCCTGAACCAAACCCCAAGGAGTATGGTAAAGCCATTACACTGAGAAGTGGCAAGGAGCTACCTGGTATTGACCACAACAATG